ATTAGGTTGATCACCCATGACATCATATCCATCCTAATCCTGTAGTGGGAAAGATTTTTCCTCCTCTGGAGTGTCAAATCGTGTTCCGCGCCTCCAAATCAGGGTCTTGCTCTTCCAGATTGTGATCAACCAGGGCGCAGATTAGCTGCTCCTTCGTCTGACCTCACATAGATTCAGCAGGTCATCTCAGCTTTGCTTCATGTAGCTGATCACTTTCTTAGACAATAGCCAAGTATGCCTTTACAAAAACACAATTATGCACTGAGCGGACTTCAGTAGGCCGGTCATCCCATAACAAGTTTCCAGCCATTAGTACGTAGGTTAATGGAATAAACTGTGCACTTGTGTGCTAAACTTATCCCACTGCTGCCACAAGATGTCACGAACAACGGTCGAGCGGATGGGGGGTTGCCGAGGGGATACAGGACTGCAGGAAGGCCAGGCGAGGCACAGGCTATCACCATCCGTTGCTCGTCCTCAAAGATCCGCCAATGCACAGGACAAAGGCTGCCCAATTAAATTGGGTAAAAGGTGTAAAGGCAGTCCATCAAAATGGAAGGTCATCTAATGCACCAAAAGGTCCTGAAAATCAGACATGCCACAAATTTAGCAGTGCAATACATTGCAGCACAATGTATGCAACATGCGTCCCCACAACACAAAGATGTGAATGGTCACAGGGTCTTCCAATGAGGACAAACGCAAGTAGAAGGAACCACTAGCGCCAACAACCCATCATCCTTGGGGGGATGAACATAACTGACTCTTACGAGAAGGCAGATCCTTAACAGTCAGGCTGGGTTCACACCTAGATGTATTGAATATGCGCGTTTTTTCACACGTTTTTTTTAACCGCGAATCAAACACGCGTTTCCGAGGGCTACTTGGCTGTATCCCAATGGAAACGCCCGACCAAAACGCCCCAAAGAAGTACATGTACTTCTTTGGGTGTAGGGCGGTTTCCCACGCGTTCGTACTCACGGAAAACCGCCCAGATGGGAACCATGCACATTGAAAATAATGGCATTTCCCTGTTTGAGCGTTTTTCCGCGAGTACGAAAGCGTGGAAAAACGCCCAGGTGTGAACCCAGACTCAGGGAAAACTGAAGATCTGGCAAGGAATGAACAAACAAAGAGTGCCCATCTAGTGTAGAAGTCTTTATTCATCGAAATTAAACAATGAGGATTGTACTCACAAACATCCAATAGTAGAAAGCCGGCAATGGCAGAAATCACAACATCAGCCTTGTTATAGATGAACAGCAATGGCACGGGACATGCAGATAGGAAGCATCATCTATCTTGCTACATGCCAGCCATCCGGTTTATGCATTTCTGGGGCCGCACCGCCTTCAGAAGAAGGGGGGTGAGGCCTCAAAAACGCGGGCTGGCATTATTTAATTTCGATGAATAAAGACTTCTACACTAGGGAGGCACTCTTTGTTCATTCCTTCCAATGAGGACACCTGTCTTAGGCTGGGCACACACCTTACAACCATCGCAAGACTTTTGTCTTGCGATGGTTGTAAGGTACTTAAAAAAACGTACGATCTGCCCATCTTGCATAGGCAGATGGTACTCGCGATGATCGCAATGCTGAATGGGCAGTGTGCGCTTGCGCACACCGGCCCGTCCGGCTTTTATCTCACTAACATGCTACACACCCGCTCGGCGGGTTTTGAAACATGTTCGGAAGTTTATGGGCAGGCGACCTTACAGTAGTAGAGGTCGCACGGCTTCCACACACCTTGCGATAATCGTACGATCGCGGGATTTCCCGCGATTATCGTACGATTATCGTAAGGTGTGTGGGGACCTTTACAGACATTTGTGTCCCCTCATTTAAGTCGACAGGTTTTTATCCTACACCACTCCATTCAAGACAAACAAAAAAGGACTATACAAAGTTGCTATAGATACACTTTATTTGAAAAGAAAAAGTAACTGCGGTAAGACAGTCTACAGATTTCTGATAAAAGTTGGGCAAGTTGCCTAAGCTCGGCTCCAGTCAGCACTCCAGATTTCACTGCCTGCAGCTCTATCACAAGTGTAAAACCATGAAGGGTGCTGGTCTGCGACAGGTGTAGGACCATACGCAGCTCTGCGACAGGTGTAGGACCATACGCAGCTCTGCGACAGGTGTAGGACCATACGCAGCTCTGCGACAGGTGTAGGACCATACGCAGCTCTGCGACAGGTGTAGGACCATACGCAGCTCTGCGACAGGTGTAGGACCATACGCAGCTCTGCGACAGGTGTAGGACCATACGCAGCTCTGCGACAGGTGTAGGACCATACGCAGCTCTGCGACAGGTGTAGGACCATACGCAGCTCTGCGACAGGTGTAGGACCATACGCAGCTCTGCGACAGGTGTAGGACCATACGCAGCTCTGCGACAGGTGTAGGACCATACGCAGCTCTGCGACAGGTGTAGGACCATACGCAGCTCTGCGACAGGTGTAGGACCATACGCAGCTCTGCGACAGGTGTAGGACCATACGCAGCTCTGCGACATGTGTCGGATAATGCGCTGCTCTGCGACAGGTGTAGGACCATACGCAGCTCTGCGACAGGTGTAGGACCATAGGCAGCTCTGCGACAGGTGTAGGACCATACGCAGCTCTGCGACAGGTGTAGGACCATACGCAGCTCTGCGACAGGTGTAGGACCATAGGCAGCTCTGCGACGGGTGTAGGACCATACGCAGCTCTATGAGGGGTGTAAGACCATACGCAGCTCTATGAGGGGTGTAAGACCATACGCAGCTCTATGAGGTGGTGTAGGACCATACACAGCTCTATGACAGGTGTAGGACCATACACAGCTCTATGACAGGTGTAGGACCATACACAGCTCTATGACAGGTGTAGGACCATACACAGCTCTATGACAGGTGTAGGACCATACACAGCTCTATGACAGGTGTAGGACCATACACAGCTCTATGACAGGTGTAGGACCATACACAGCTCTATGACAGGTGTAGGACCATACACAGCTCTATGACAGGTGTAGGACCATACACAGCTCTATGACAGGTGTAGGACCATACACAGCTCTATGACAGGTGTAGGACCATACACAGCTCTATGACAGGTGTAGGACCATACACAGCTCTATGACAGGTGTAGGACCATACACAGCTCTATGACAGGTGTAGGACCATACACAGCTCTATGACAGGTGTAGGACCATACACAGCTCTATGACAGGTGTAGGACCATACACAGCTCTATGACAGGTGTAGGACCATACACAGCTCTATGACAGGTGTAGGACCATACACAGCTCTATGACAGGTGTAGGACCATACACAGCTCTATGACAGGTGTAGGACCATACACAGCTCTATGACAGGTGTAGGACCATACACAGCTCTATGACAGGTGTAGGACCATACACAGCTCTATGACAGGTGTAGGACCATACACAGCTCTATGACAGGTGTAGGACCATACACAGCTCTATGACAGGTGTAGGACCATACACAGCTCTATGACAGGTGTAGGACCATACACAGCTCTATGACAGGTGTAGGACCATACACAGCTCTATGACAGGTGTAGGACCATACACAGCTCTATGACAGGTGTAGGACCATACACAGCTCTATGACAGGTGTAGGACCATACACAGCTCTATGACAGGTGTAGGACCATACACAGCTCTATGACAGGTGTAGGACCATACACAGCTCTATGACAGGTGTAGGACCATACACAGCTCTATGACAGGTGTAGGACCATACACAGCTCTATGACAGGTGTAGGACCATACACAGCTCTATGACAGGTGTAGGACCATACACAGCTCTATGACAGGTGTAGGACCATACACAGCTCTATGACAGGTGTAGGACCATACACAGCTCTATGACAGGTGTAGGACCATACACAGCTCTATGACAGGTGTAGGACCATACACAGCTCTATGACAGGTGTAGGACCATACACAGCTCTATGACAGGTGTAGGACCATACACAGCTCTATGACAGGTGTAGGACCATACACAGCTCTATGACAGGTGTAGGACCATACACAGCTCTATGACAGGTGTAGGACCATACACAGCTCTATGACAGGTGTAGGACCATACACAGCTCTATGACAGGTGTAGGACCATACACAGCTCTATGACAGGTGTAGGACCATACACAGCTCTATGACAGGTGTAGGACCATACACAGCTCTATGACAGGTGTAGGACCATACACAGCTCTATGACAGGTGTAGGACCATACACAGCTCTATGACAGGTGTAGGACCATACACAGCTCTATGACAGGTGTAGGACCATACACAGCTCTATGACAGGTGTAGGACCATACACAGCTCTATGACAGGTGTAGGACCATACACAGCTCTATGACAGGTGTAGGACCATACACAGCTCTATGACAGGTGTAGGACCATACACAGCTCTATGACAGGTGTAGGACCATACACAGCTCTATGACAGGTGTAGGACCATACACAGCTCTATGACAGGTGTAGGACCATACACAGCTCTATGACAGGTGTAGGACCATACACAGCTCTATGACAGGTGTAGGACCATACACAGCTCTATGACAGGTGTAGGACCATACACAGCTCTATGACAGGTGTAGGACCATACGCAGCTCTATGACAGGTGTAGGACCATACACAGCTCTATGACAGGTGTAGGACCATACACAGCTCTATGACAGGTGTAGGACCATACACAACTCTATGACAGGTGTAGGACCATACAGAGCTCTATGACAGGTGCAGGACCATACACAGCTCTATGACAGGTTGTAGGACCATACACAGCTTTATGACAGGTTGTAGAACCATACACAGCTCTATGACAGGTTGTAGGACCATACACAGCTCTATGACGGGTGTAGGACCATACAGGGTTCAGTTCTATAACAGGTGTGGTGGAACAATCCAGGGTGTATCACGTGTGAAAATACGCCAGCTGTACTGCCAGGTTAGCACACCCAGCCCCTCGTGTCTCACCCCCTCTCACCTTGTACACCTTGCCGAACGCTCCATCCCCCAGCTCTCCCACTATGTCCCACACAAGGCTGGGGTCCAGGTCCCTCCGGACGTGCTCGTACTCCCGCAGCTTCCTCCTGTCCCCAGTGAACCGCAAAATACGGCGAAAGTTGGCAAAAGCCATGGCCGGTGCGGAAAGCGGGACACCCGGGCGAAGTATCACAACCCCCAGCGGAGGCTCCGGCCAAACGGGACTAGACTGCGACAAAATTCACTTTACAGAGAAGCGAGCTGCACAGCACCCGGACACACCCATCTCTCCGCCCAGGGGCGGAGCCTAGCGCCATATGCTGAAACTACACCTAGGCCGGGCGGGGCCTGAACTCGGGCAACTATAAAGACGGCTCAGCAAGCCCGAGTTATTTTTGGATGCAGAACTTGTTAGTCTTGCGTTAATAATGGTATTTGCCGGTTTCTTTTGTGAGTAGCTGAGAGAAGTTGAGACACAGGGTAAGTGTGCTAACTTCTGCTCCAAGTGTACTCTGATACACATGCAAGGAAAATCACTGACATTAAAGAGAACCTGTCACCAGTCCATTCATTACAACAAACACCTTTCCATAAGAATGTATTCAACTTCTTGTAGGCATGGTATTTACCTGTAGAAGCCTCCCTTGTGTAGACCTGAGTCTGCTTCCGGACACTGCTATCTTGGATGAAAGTGACTCAGAGCTAAAGTGGAACTTCCCTTAAAGTGACATTGAACTCTTGCGCTTTTTTTGCATATATCTACTGTAAGCAGTAGATACATGCAAAAACATTTTTAAAAAGTTACCAAATAAGTTTAAACTTACCTGTGTCTCCGCCGCACGCTCCAGTCCAAAGACCTGAAGGTTGGCGGACAGCCGCAAAGGATCATGGGGCGGGCGCATGTGCAGTAGAGATCTTAGGCTGGGGGAAGAGGAGAGACACAGGGTAAGTTTCTGGGGCTGACATCTTCTCCTGGGTGCCATGTCTTTGGCCATCTTGATTGGCTGGTGGGTGATGAATGAACTGCCGCACACGCACACTGGAGTTCTTTCACCCTGGCACAGAAGTGTTCTGACCATGTACACTGAGCATACGCAACTTTGTGTACATTCCCAAGAAGATTGTGGACAGGCAGGCAAGTTTGTATTATCAGTATAGAAAAGTTCACTGCGCTAAATTATATAATAAACCACCATATGAAGTGCAGCAATCTATAAATACATAAAAATAAATCGACACATATAATTAAACCTCAATTGTGTTAGCCCTATATAATATACAATAAGTGAAGATCAAATTGTGATCAAGTTATTACTTCAACCAAAATGTTTTTTTATATACTGGGCTTATAATGTCCATTATAAAAAGAATCTGTCCATATAACTGAAGCGTACATCCAACAAGATAAAAGAAAATGAATATGATCAGTATTGCAATCTCCGCTATGCTCCAATGTGTGAATATTAAGTGTTCTCCCACCAACATTTCCTGCACTCAGAAGACTCTTATGAGCACCTAAGGTCATACACGGCACAATATAGTGTCCCTCAAAATGGAACCAGTGTCCAACTCAGCTCTCTCCCGTCAGTTCTCAACCAAAAAAGCTGTACAAATGCCGGTATAAGAAAGTCCCAGGTGACAACACACGTTAGGAGTGTGCTTTACTGACATCTCCATCAGCTGGCTAGCTGGCTAGTGCTTTACTTTACTCTCCATCAGCTGGCTAGCTGATGGAGACCCCTGCAAACAGGCGTGAGGGGAGGGGGTAGTGGTTTGAGGACCATCTAGAGGAGGAGGAAATAAAAACCTTTCAAGAAGAATAGTGAAGGTATGTAAATGTGGGCCTTCTTAACATAAAAAGTAAAAAAAAAAGTGAAGGTTTAACATCTCCGTAAATAGAACTCTGTCCCCCATATTTTTAAAGAAATATATGTGTTACAGCAGCGGGGTGGATCCCAACAATATTGTCGGTAACTTTCCTGGCTGCAATGTGGCTCTGCGCTGTCAGCAAATAGCAGGCTGTATGCCGACTTTGGGTCACAGGAGTACATTAGTAAATGTATCCTTTGACCCAAAAGAGGACTAAAGCGAAAAAAAAAGGTTTGGCTTTAGTTCTCTTTAAAGAGACACTGGGGTTGATTTACTAAAGGCGAACAGGCTGTTCCCTTTGCACAGGAAGTTTTCCCTTAGTTTATTAAATGACTGCTGGCTTCCATCATCCAATCATATGCAAGCAAAAATATTGTTGGGTTTTTTTTCTTAGTTTATTGCACATAATTGGGTATTTCCAAACTGAAATTTCACCACATTCACTAAACTAAAGGAAAGCGTTCCCTGCAAAGTGAAAATTCCCTTGCAAAGTTAACAGCCTATTTGCCTTTAGTAAACTGACCCCACTGCCACCTGACAGTGCATCTGCATAAGGGCTCCCCCTTATGCAGATGCATAAGGGGGAGCCCTAGTAATGTATTGTGACAGGTGAGGAGGTCACATGATCCACCACAATTTAAAGCACTGGTTAACAGAGAACTATGGGGTAGGTGTTTTCAACATCGATCTCGCAATATACTGAGAGCGCTGCAGCCGGGACCAACAATACTGTTGAGATCCACCCAGTTGCGTGAGTCACAGCAGGCTCTGCCTATCTAGAGGCTGAGCCAGCTGTGCCCGCCCCCTCCCGCGTTTGTTCTTCCACTCAGCGTTGGAGGATCGGAGAGGGGAATCCCTGCTGGGAGCCGTGGGTGATAGTCACCGCTCACTGCAGGAAGATGATCGGGAAGTGAACGGATCAATAGAGCTGACCTGTGACAGCTTCTTTGTCACAAGTCGGCTCTAACTATGAGGAGGAGTGTAAATAACTCACCTCATAGTTCTCCATAGTGCAAAGGAGGAAGGAGCAGCGGGAAAACACTGGCAAGGTGAGTATAAGGGGTCAGGGGCTTTTGCAGAGATACTGTTGATAGTCAGGGTGACGGTAGGCAGGGTAAACGCACCTGTCAGGGAAAAATATAAATAAAGTTATACATCTAATATGCTAAAGGACAGAATAGGATAATTTATTCAAATTATTTTACAGTAAGATATTAAGTTGGATATTAAAGGAGAATTACGAGGCGAGTGATTTTCACTCAGCCCCACAATCTGAGCCGACCTGTGACAATGAAACTGTCACAGGTCGGCTCAGTCAGATCGGGAAGTGAGCGAACACATACCGTCGCTCGCTCACTTCTCGATCTATCCCTGCAGAGAGCCGTGACTGTCACTCATGGCTCCCTGCAGGGATTCGCGCCCCCCTTTCCGATCCTCCAACGGTGACTGGCGGAACGGACTGGGGAGGGGGCGGGCACAGCTGGCTCTGCCTCTAGATAGGCAGAGCCAGCTGTCAATCCCGCAGCTGGGTGGATCTCGACAGCAATGTCGGGATCCGTTCCAGCTGCGGCGCCTCAGTATACTGAGCTTTGGGTCATGGGAGGACGCTAGTTTGTGTTCTCACGTGACCCTTAGGAGAACTATGGGGAAAAGCCCTAACCCCATAGTTCTCCTTTAAGCACTTCATCAGCAGCAAATATAAACTGAAAAGATTACCATTAAAAGGAGATATTGTCACTGTTAGCTTAGCCATAGTGATGCATTAGGAAATATAGCTAAATGAAGCATAGTTTACAGTATACTATTGCCATACAGTATTTTTCAGAAATGTGGTACTATAAAATAGAGCTAAGTGCAACTATAGTACAGTTATTTGGGTGAAATTACAGAAATAGGAAACTGAAACTATGATGCTCAGTAACGGAAGCAGTTTACTTTTAAAGCTTGGTTAAAGTCATACAGCACCTTAAAGACATTAAACTAGGAACATAGAGTATTTGAGAATTTCTCTAGGTGTGGCTCAGATAGCAATGATCACATATAAAACTCCTGTTTCGTTCTGGTGGGTAGTCATGAAAAGACAGAGACATAATTGTTGGAGGGGATTGTGCAAGAGTGTATATGAGTAAGGCCATTCAGTAGAAATTTCACAAGAAACCTTCAAGGTGACATCAGTTTGGAGCTCTGCAAGGAGACATCATTGGCAAGGGTCAGTTATATAAGGGCTCATTCTTCTCAGGATTATTATATTAGTACATACTTTCCACTACAACACATTCCACCCGATACCCAATGTTCTCCCCCTTTCCCCACCTTTTGCACTAAAATAACATAAATGTAAACCCTGACTAAATGTGTATCATAAGTATTTGCCCCCTTTCCCCACAAAGTACTGTTTTCACCTTTTTTTCATGTTTTTACATCTGAGTACTGCTGATCTTTTTCAGCCACACCTTACTGTGTGCATGCTTTCTCTTCAGTGTTGGCTGCACACCTGCACACCTTTAGAAAGTGACAAGTGGACACTGCATGCACAGTCTCCACCCCGGAAAGGTGAGTTTTTTGGTTTAGATCTCTTTTAACCGCCTATTGTAAAAAGCATCCTGTTTACAGAGCTCAATAACTCAAAAATAGGAGCAGTGCCAGTAACTGTTGCTGCACCTCCCTTTGGAAATCCCATGATTTTTTGGGAATCCTGGGTCTTTTTGCTTCACAATCTTTTTGTTTTTCAAATACAGTAAGGGAAAATATACACGTACAACACATCATGCATGGTAAAATTAGTGAGCTGAATCATGGGTCTTTCAAAAAATATTATATATAGTAAAAGAAAAAAAAAAGACAAATGGGACAGTTTTTTTAAGCACTAGCAATCTGTCATAGATTCCTCTGCGTACCAAACTGTGTGATGCCATGTGGATCAATATCTAAATTTATATTACAGTACACGAGTACACACCAAACTGGAATATCTTCCAGTGAGACCTTGGCCCAGACCAACCCACATTCTTGGATTATGCCATTGCACACCATCATTTGTGGACGTGCACTTTATAGCATAATTACTCGACATGTAAGACTTGCCAAGAAATAATATCAAATACATTGATCTTAATGAGTCACCTTAAAGGAATGGCATGTAAGGTTTCAGAGCAGTATTCCTCATGCCATTGTTGACAAAAACATGTCATGAAGAAGATTACTATCTATGATTCACACCTGTATGTACATCCTACCTTTGCATTTTTTGTATTGTTTCCAACAACATACTCAAGTAACGTACCTTTTACATATTTATGTCATTCAGTATTGCACATCAAAGTGTGATGATCATCTTGCCAGAAAATTGATTGTCATTATACAGATGGTAAGGAGGTCTAACCCTCC